CCTGGTGCCCCCCCACCTCCGCTTCTCCCCTCCGTTGCGTCGGCCCTTGGGCGCCTGCAACCCAGCTCCCTCCCGCCCCCTCCCCCCCGCAGAGCTTCCCCCTTCAACCAGGACACCCCAGCAGGTTAAGACCAGACCCAGGGGGACAGACCCCCTTCTTCAGCCTTGTGGAGAATGAATTGGGGCCCCTGAGAAATTCAGGGAACCTTTAGGAGTGATCACACCCATCTTCTTCTGCTCCCCTTTCAGCTCTTTTTGCTCAAAGTCACCCGTTTCCCAAGCGCACCCTTTTGAGTGGCCTTCCCTGGTTTCTGAGAAGTCCTTGGCCTCCTGTGCCCCCCCCTCCTCCTCCTTAAGGTTTCTGCAGAGCCCAAAATGTGGAGAGGGAGGGGTCAGGAGCAGTTCTGAATGCAGGCACCCCCCCCCCACACACACACACCCCTTCCCCCCCCCCCACAAGAGGGCTGTGGAGGTCTCGGCAGGCGAACAGAGTTCGGATCCTCGGCTCCTTCTGTCTTGCAGCTCCAGGAGGTTTTGAAACTTGGGAACGTGACCACAGACTACCCTCTGGCCGAGACCATCATGATGGTGGGCTTCTTCCTGACCGTGTTTGTGGAGCAGGTGGTCTTGACCTTCCGGAAGGAGAAGCCCTCCTTCATTGACCTGGAGACCTTCAACGCCGGCTCGGACGTGGGCAGCGACTCCGAGTACGAGAGCCCCTTCATCGAGCCTTCCTGGGGCCACGGCCACCGGCCCGACCACCGCGGCCGCCACAGCCACGGGCTGGCCGTCTGCGAGCTCTCGCGCTCCAGCCCCCTGCGGCTCTTCAGCCTGGTCTTTGCCTTGTCCGCCCACTCCGTTTTCGAAGGGCTGGCCCTGGGCCTGCAGGAGGAGGGCGACAGGGTCCTGAGCCTCTTTCTGGGCGTGGCCATCCACGAGACGCTTGTGGCCGTGGCCCTGGGGGTCAACATGGCCAAAAGTGGGCTGAGGATCAAGGAGGCGTCCAAGCTGGCTGCCGCCGTCAGCCTGATGATCCCCCTGGGCATCGGCATCGGCATGGGCATCGAGAGCGCCCAAAACGTGGCCAGCAGCGTGGCCTCGGTGATCCTGCAGGGGATGGCCGGGGGCACCTTCCTTTTCGTCACCTTCTTTGAGATCCTGGCCAAGGAGCTGGAGGACAAGAGCGACCGGCTGCTCAAAGTGCTCTTCCTGGTCCTGGGCTACGCGGTCCTGGCAGGGCTGGTGTTCTTCAAGTGGTGAGGGGCTCCCGTTCTGTTTGGGATGGGCCAGGACCCTCCCACGCAGGGCAGGAGGAGAGCCGGACGGCGGTGGCGGCACCCGGAGGCCCACTGCCCCCAGGGCTGGGCTCTTCCCCGGCCACTTCCTCACAACACCCATGGGCGGGGTGGGGGGGGGAACGAGGGCGGGGGGGTTGGGACAGCTGGGAAGGCGGTGTCCTTTTCAGCCAGGGTAGCCCCCAGGAGACGGAAGACAAGCGGGCACTGCAGCTGGCGGACCCACCTTGCCCTCAGGCGCCAGCAGTGGGTTGGGGGGAGGCTCCCAGGCTCTGTCCTGTAACTGAAGGATAGGGCAGGTCTCCCGGCCCCCACCCCACGTCCCCCCTCTTCTCTCGGGGGAGCCTCTGTCCTTTGGGGAGGCTTCCTGAAAGTTGATCTCCTCCCGCCGGGAGGTTATTTTGCACCTGGAGATGTCCAGGCTTCGGCCGCCTGCTGGGGGTTTTCTTGTGTTTTTGGTCTGGACCAGCCCTGGGAATCCAGAGAGGGGCTGTGCGTCTTGCCGCCCCCCCCCCCCAGGCCAGGTGTCCAAGCAGAGGCCCTGCCCTTCAGCGTTGGCTGCCTCTCGACTGAACCGTGACGGTCTCGGCTCTTCCAAGGGGCCCTCGGCTCCGGGACGGTTGTCTGCTAATCCACTCCAGGACACTTTTCTTTTATGCACCTTGAAGCTCCTCCTCTGATGCTGTGTGTGGATGTGAGATTGAGAGAGTCTCCTCCACTGGGCCGGATCCGAGCCACGTGCTTGAGAAGCGAAGATTTCCAGATGCATCCAGGCAGCTTTGGGGTCCTCGGGATGTGGCAGGGCTGAAATACCTGCCGGCAGAGTGGTTGCTCCCCGCCCCAGGCCCATCGGCAGCAGAGCCCCCAGGAACCGCCTGCCTCGATAGGTCCGTCTCCTCCGTGGGCAGACAGCCGAGGCCAGGCGGGTCCCCTCAGGGTGGCAGCTTCTGCTGGCAGGAAGTTGGCCCTGCTGCCTTGTCAGCCAGGCAGAACGGGTGCCTGGCCTGCCTCTCCTGCTTCCTTCCGCAATGAAGAGGCACTCCTGACGCCTGCGGGGGCTCCAGCTCAGGGACCTCCCGTCCTGCCCCACCCCAGCCATGGTCACCCCAAGGACGGGCCTCTCTCCCTCCCTCCCCCCCCTCGGGCCCCAGAGAGCGGGTCCCATCCTGATCAAGGCTAAGCAGAGTTGGGCCTTCTGCCCCAGCAGACGGAGGGTCCCGGCACCAGGAGGTTGTATGAGCGTGGGGGGAGGGGGCGATGGAGGACCACCCATCACTCTGCTGCCGATCATTTGGCTGAGAGGATGCAGTCTTGGGGGGGGGGAGGCAGCTGGGACCCAAAATAGCACCGCTGGCCGGCTGGGAACAAGCGGGCATCTTCCTCCCCAACTGTGGCATCAGCCTGGCTGCTGGCAAGGCTTCCTCGGGCCCTCGAAGCTGCCGGGGGGGGGGGGGAATGGGGGAGAAGCGGCCTGCCTGTGGGCTTGTGTGTGCGCACGCCGTTATTTATTGCATTCCTGCTCTGGGACAGGATCAGACCCACCTCGGTGGGTTGTTTTGTTACCCTGACGTTAACCTCCATTGTGCTAAGATAGCCAGCCTTTGCGGGCTGAAATAAACCACCTTCATTGCCCCCCTTGTGACTCCGTCTGTTTGTAGGCAAACCGAGCCACTCCGGGGGAGGCAGCGCCCTCCTTTCTGTGGGCAAAATGCCATCCAGGGCCTCACCAGCTTCTCGCCTGGGCAGGGGGTGGCGATCGACCGTGAGGGACGGGCAGAGAGAGGCACAGCCTAGTTTTCTCTCTTCCCTGGCACTCGGCTTCCTGACTCTTGGAAGAGGCTGTCCTCTCCCGCCTCGTCCCTCACGCTTAAGATGGGGGTCCTGCTTCTCCCCACTTCCTGGAGGGAGCTGTGGGCTAGCCCTGCCCAGCCTTACGGGGCCTCGGTTCCTGGCCTGGCATCGCCACCCTTTGCAGCTTTGCTCTCTCGGGGGAGCAGCTTCCTGTGTCCCCCGCCCTGGCCTCCCGCCCCTCTGCCTGCGGCTGGCCCTTTCGAACGGCCTCGTCCAAGCTTTGGGGCCTCTTCCTGGGCTGTGTGATGCGTTGGGACAGGATTCGGCCCTCTCCCCCTGGACACTGGCAAGGCCCTGGGTGACGGGGCGTTCTGCAGGCAAGGGCCTGGCTGGCTTCTCCTTCTTGAAGAGGCCCCGAGGAGTGTGGGGCGCTGGTGGAATTTCCTTGCAGGGGCCCCCCACGTTCCTTCCCTTCCTCTGCCTTAGCTGGGCTGGCCTGATCTGAGCCTCTTCCTGTCTCTGCCAGAAGAGGCCGCCCTGCCCTATGTGGGTCCTCACGTGGGTCCAAGGGAGCCTCGCCAGGGGAACCTGCAGGAAAAGGGGCTTCAAACAATCCAGGGGGGGAGCGCAAGCAGGGGGGCCCAGGAGACCCCTGCAAGGGAGAAAGCCAAGCACCCTCTGGACAGGGCTTGGCACTGGCGTCCCTGCTACGGCAGCACTTCCCCTTTCGAGGCTGGGCCCTGATCTGGGGGTTGCCGGTGGCAGCTGCGGCCAGCGAGGTCTTTGCACAGCTCCAATATATGTGCCAGCTGTGCCGCTTTCTGGGTCGGGGGGCCCTCCGCACAATCGGACAATAGTCTCGCAACTCGACTACCGCAGGGTGTTGTATTTGGGGCTGCCTTGAAGACCACTTGGAAGCTGTAGCCGGCCTGGAATGTGCAGTGCAGGCGGAGAAGGGCTCCGGCTGTGACATGCTCAGGAACACCCCTGCACTGAGGCTGGACCGGTTGCCCTTTGGGCACAGTTTAAGGCGCTGCAGGGAGGAGGGGGTGGAGGGGAAGGGCATCTCAGTTCTGTGGGCATGCTTTTGCTCCACCCGAGATTGGGGGGGGGCAGAGATGGGTCCTATTAACCAGCCCTTGCACTTGGGCTTCTGTTGCCCACTTTCTCTCCTTCAGCAGTAGATGAGAGCTGAAGCAAGGCAGCTGGGGTGGGGTGGGGGGTGGGCTGTCGCTACCACTGCCACCGAAGCACAAGGGACACCCCCCCCCCCGGTTCCTGACAATGCAGCCCTCTCCCCAGTCCTTCCTGCTGCCCCCTGTCCTGGGGCTGGTCAGCAGGCTGCCTGCCTGCCCTGGACCCATCACCCTACCAGGGTGTCTCCTCACGGCTCCTGTCTGTTCTTGGCAAAAGGGTTCCATAATGGAGCTGTCTGCCCTGCTCTGCTCCTGGGGGGGGGGAGGTATTCTCCAGGTTCTGCTCTCCAGGGGCAACTGGGAGAAGCCAGGATCCGCTCCAGGCACAAGATAGTGGATCTCATCCGCAGCTGGGGGGGTGGAGCTGCAGACAAGTCAGTGGGGGGGGGCGTAAAGTGGGCAACGGAAGGAAGCCCTCTGCACTGAGACGGCCCCCCCTCTGGCCATCAGTCAGAGACGGGGGGCAGGGGTGAGAAGAGGGGGGGGTCAAGATCTGTGCCCACCCTGTGAAGGAAGTGGGTGTCTCTGCTAGCTGGGTTGGGGGTGAAACCAAACATGGAGAGATTGGCGTCAAATCTTCTTTCCAGCTCTCCTGGCATCCGGCTTTGCCTGCCCCAGAAGCCCCCTCCCCCCCCAGGGAAGAGCCTGCCTGGGCACCGGCCACTTCCAAGAGGGGAGACTCGGCGTCTTTTTTATATTGTGGTAGCCCAAACTGGACGCAATAAGTGTGATCTTACCAAGATACAATAAAGTGATACTAATACCTCACGTGATCTTGATTCTGTCCCTCTATTAATGTACCCAAGGACTGAATTGGCTTTTTTGGCTGCTGCCACACACGGCTGGCTTGTATTTAAGTGATTGCCCAGTAGGACTCCAGGATCCCTCCCACAGTTACTACTATTGAGCCAGATACTACCTCTTCTATACCTGTACATTTGTTTTTTCTTCCCCAGGTGTTAAACCTTTTCTTACTATTGATTTCCATTTTTATAAAATAGGGCCCATTGTTCAGGTCTGTTGAGATCCTTCTGGATCTTGAGCCTATCATCCAGGGTGTTGGCTATTCCTGCCAGCTTGGTATCACCTGCAAATGTGATGAGTTCCCCTTCTATCCCCTTATCTAATTCGTTTGTGAAGATACTGAAGAGTGCTGGACCTGAAATGGACACCTTGTGGCAAACCCCCCCCCCCCCGCTTACTTCCCTCCTTTGAGGACCACACGATTGAGTGTGGTTGGTCAGCCAGATACAGATCCATCTAGCGGTGATCCTGTCTATACCATTTTTCTAGTTTACCAAGAAGAAGGTTGTGGTCTATGTCAAATGCCTTACTGAAATCGAAGTATACTATTGGTATGTCCACAGTATTTTGCTGATCCACTAATTTAGTCATTTTGTCAAAAAATAAAATAAGGTTGGTTTGGCATGATCTGTTTTTGACAAATCCATGTTGGCTTCTGGTTGCAACTTTTGTTTGCTTCTAGACTAATCAATCTGTTGCTTGATTATCTTTTCCAGGATCTTCCCACGTATTGAGGTCAGGCTGATTGGTATGTAGTTTCCTGGGTCCATTTTTCCCCCTTTTTTTAAAGATGGGAATCACATCAGCTCTTTTACAGTCCTCAGGTAGTTCCCCAGTGCTCCACCTCTGTCAGCAGACCTCTGGATGTAATCTCTCACGTCCCGGTGATTTGAAATCATCTAGGGTGGACAGGTGTTCTCTTACCATTTAGCTGCCTATTTTAATTTGCATTCCTATTCTGTCTTTTACGATTCTAGTTTTTGGTAGGTTAGGCTATTTTTTCCTTTTGCACAAAGACACATGCAAAGAATAGTGAAGTAGCTCTGGATTGTCCCTGCTGGTCATCCCTTCCTTGCCATCTTCTCCCATTAGTGCAGCAATTATTTCCTTGACTTTTTTTCTTGTTTTTTACACATTGAAACTATTATTTTTTACATTTGTTGCAAGTTTTAGT